GGACCGAGGCCGATTTGGCCATCAATATCCGCAAGGCCACCAGTATCGGTAAGTCGTTAGTCGGGGATGGGACCGACGCGGGACAGCGGGCATGATGGGCTAACAATTTGACAACAGAGGAGACCGCTCCTAAACGTACGTTCCAACCATATTTCATTACCCCCATCGAATCGATTGATGCCATCTCGGCTTTGCCTCGTCCGAATTGAACTGACCATCCCCCGCGCCTGTAGGGAAACATGTGCGGAGCTGCATCGTCTATACGTGGGACCACAAGTCATCGGCGGCTTTCTGGGCCGGTATGAAAGTGTACGTTTTGAGATACCCGGAAGGCATGGAAAAAGGCTGTTGTTTTCGAGATGGCTAACACAGCTTCCTTCTTTACAGGCAGCCCGTCCTCGCCGACGAGGTCCAGACGTTCAAGGCCCTGATCACGATACACAAGGTTCTTCAAGAGGGCCACCCCATGGTTGTTCGCGAGGCGCAGCAACATTCCAACTGGATTGATAGCTTGATGCGAGGAGTCGGAGGTGACGGTATTCGAGGTATGGATTCCATGCAGGACGACTGCGCAATTGCTCTCTGCTCGAAAGGTGGCAACACTTGTGATGGACGGAATATTGACAGTTCTGGATAGGGTATGCGCCGCTCATTCGGGAGTACGTCTTCTTCCTCGAGGCGAAATTGAACTTCCACCGCAACCACCCCGAATTCAACGGTATGTCGTCTACGGTTGACCAGTTCTGTGAAGGGCGGGTGTCTGACAGTCGCAGGCTTGTTTGAATATGAGGAGTACATTAGTTTGAAGTCGATCAACGATCCGAATGAAGGGTGGGTACTTACCTGGGTTTTCGCGACAATGGAGAGAGGTGCTGACAATCACATAGCTATGAGACCATCACCGATCTGATGGCTCTGCAAGATCAAATCGATTCCTTCCAAAAGCTCATCTTCTCGAATTTCCAGTCCGGCACGAATAATGAATGTCGGATCTCGGCATTGGTGCCACTTGTGCAGGAGAGTTATGGCATCTACAAGTTCATCACCAGCATGCTGCGAGCCATGCACACAAGTATGTTGCACTTAGTCCTTAGATTTGCTTCAACAGCCGCTGACTGGTGTCTCTGTAGCCACCGGAGAGGACGAAGCCCTCGAGCCACTCCGAGGCCGATATGATGCCCAGCACCACCGCCTTGTTCGGTTCTACTATGAGTGCTCCAACCTGCGCTACCTAACAGGCCTTATCACCATCCCGAAGTTGCCACAGGATCCGCCAAGTTTGCTTGCCGAAGATGATGATCGCCCAGCTCTTCCCAGACGACCGGCGAGAGAAGTGGAAGCCCAGCCCTCGCCGCCACCGAAGGTCGCTGCTGAACCAGAGCCAATTAATGATTTCTGGACAAACGAGGCCAAACGCCAGCAAGAAGAGTACGAGGCGGAGCAGCAACGCTTGCAGCAGCAGTGGGAGGACCAACAACGCCAGCAAGTTCTCGCCCAACAGCAAGCCCAGAACGATTTCGAGGAACAGCAGCGTCTGCAGGCGGAACAGCAGCGATTGGCACAGGAGCAGCTTCTCCGCGACCAGTACCAGACACACACACAAGGTCGGCTGGCCGAGCTGGAGCAGGAGAACCTTAACGCCCGCGCACAGTATGAGCGTGACCAACTGATGCTGCAGCAATATGACCGCCGTGTCAAAGAGGTCGAGGAGCAGATGAACCATCTGAACTCGAACCTCAACTTGCAGAGTGCCTCGAAAGACGATCAGATTCGATCCCTGCAGGAGCAGGTGAACACCTGGCGATCCAAATACGAGGCATTGGCCAAGTTGTACTCACAGCTTCGACAAGAGCACCTCGATCTTCTTCAGACCACAAAGAGCCTCAAGCTGAAGGCAGCCTCCGCGCAAGAGGCAATTGACCGACGAGAGAAGCTGGAGCGCGAGCTGAAGACCAAGAACTTGGAGCTGGCTGACATGATTCGGGAACGTGACCGTGCTCTGCATGACCGTGACCGTTTGACGGGAACCAACAAAGACGACTTGGAGAAGGTCAAGCGCGAGCTTCGCATGGCTCTTGAGCGTGCTGAAAACGCAGAACGTTCAAAGGGCACCGAGATCTCGTCCCTACTGTCCAAGTATAACCGTGAGATGGCCGACCTGGAAGAGTCCCTTCGAGTGAGTAACTGTTCATCTTGCTTAAGTTTGTGATTCATGCTGACCTTATAGGTCAAAACGCGCGCATTGGATGAACATTCTAGTCGCAACAATGACCGCCAGGAAGACCTTGACCTGGCTCTTCGCGAGAAGGACGAGGAGATTGAGGTGTACAAGGCTGGTATGGACCAGGCTCTTGAGGAACTGGAAGAGCTGAGACTGGTAAGTGGTGATATGGACAATATTCGATGTTCGCATACTGATCATGTTCCACTGTAGAGCCAAGGTGATGTCGACCATGCGCTAGACAGCCAGATTGACACTGTGCTCCACGGTACAGTCGCAAAAATCAATGATATTATCGACTCCGTGCTGCAGACTGGTGTACAGCGTGTCGACGATGCTCTGTATGAACTGGATTCGTCCATGCAGGCCGGTAACCAAAACGCCTCTCCTCCATATGTTCTTTCGCAGATTGAAAAGGCGTCTGCTTCTGCCACCGAATTCTCAACTGCTTTCAACAACTTTGTAGCCGATGGCCCCAACAGTCCCCATGCTGAGATCATTCGGACAGTGTCCATCTTCTCTGGGTCCGTCTCGGATGTGCTGAGCAACACCAAGGGTCTCATCCGCTTCGCCACTGATGACAAGAGCTCCGACCACCTGGTTAATGCTGCGCGCAAGTCTGCTCAGGCGACTGTGCGGTTCTTCCGTGGCTTGCAGTCATTCCGTCTCGAAGGTCTGGAACCACTGCAGAAGACTGATGTCGTTATCAACAACAACCTCGAAGTCCAGCGTGATCTGCAGGCGCTGTCGAAGCTGGTTGATTCGTTCGCTCCTAAGAATACCAAGATCAGCACCAGTGGTGATCTAGGTGACCTTGTCGACCAGGAATTGCTCAAGGCCGCCGATGCCATTGACGCAGCTGCCCAGCGTCTGGCCAAGCTCAAGAACAAGCCCCGTGACGGATACTCGACCTATGAGCTGCGCATCAACGATGTCATCCTTGCCGCCGCCATTGCCGTCACTAACGCAATTTCGGAGTTGATCAAGGCCGCGACAGAGACACAGCAGGAGATTGTTCGGGAAGGCCGTGGAAGCTCGTCTCGCACTGCCTTCTACAAGAAGAACAACCGCTGGACGGAGGGTTTGATCTCTGCCGCCAAAGCAGTGGCTTCTTCAACCAACACATTGATCGAGACTGCTGACGGTGTAATCTCGGGCCGAAACTCCCCGGAGCAACTCATTGTCGCCTCCAACGATGTTGCAGCCAGCACAGCCCAGCTTGTCGCAGCCAGTCGAGTCAAGGCAACATTCATGAGCAAGAACCAGGATCGCCTAGAAACTGCCAGCAAGGCTGTCGGTGCCGCTTGTCGTGCCCTCGTGCGGCAGGTGCAGGACATTATCAAGGAGAAGAACCGCGACGGCGACGAGGGCGAGGATTATGGAAAGCTGAGCTCGCACGAGTTCAAGGTCCGCGAGATGGAGCAGCAGGTATGTGACGTCCCCTTCCCCCTTGTATCCCATCCACCCCATACTAATATGTATCGTCCCAACAGGTCGAAATCCTCCAACTCGAGAACGGTCTCGCTCGCGCCCGCCAGCGTCTGGGCGAAATGCGCAAGATCTCTTACCAGGAGGATTAGGGAAATCGTCGCACGTGTGTTTCGCTCTTGGCTGCCTGTGTATATTCCGCATCTCAATTTCAAGGAGTTTTGTTTCGTCCGTGTCGCACTTTGCGTTCTTCGGCCTGGGCCACTCTCCCTAAACCCCGTAGTTAGTTTCTTGTTTTGATTTCCCATAGTTAGCGAATGCAAGCAACTCACCTAGTTCCCTGAATCATTGTAGTCAATAGATGCACTCCCCTGCACCTGTATCCATGTTCCGGCTCTAGTAGGTAGCCCTGTAGAGCGCAAGGTCGCACGGTTGCACGGTCGGACGTGCGCCGCTCGTCTCCGGCATGTCCCCTGCTCGAGGCTGCATGCCAAGCTTTGGCTCCACACTCGACTGGTGGAACCATGGGTGTAGTGCATGCCGATCTGCGGGTACAGCCGACTAGCGGCGGGTGTCATCAAAGAGTATCGAGACGTCATCTCATGTACGCAGACAAAGAATCGAGTATCTGGGCAGCGCTGGGTGGTTGGAGCTTTGAGATCAAAGTGACATGTAGACCCAAATAGAGTCTGAGTGAGGCGTTGGAAATGTCTGATTCGTGATCCGGAAAATACGGGATTTGGAGGAATAGTTGGTTGTTATGGTTGTCGAAGTATTTTATTGAATACCCACGATGCAAAGAGATGCGACCGATCCTCGAGACATGTTTCCACATGTCTATTTACGATTCTACATGCTACAAGGGAGAAGGTAGTTTGCGCAAACCCACTAATTGAATTGCAAGTTAAAGTACATAAAAAACGCTCACGTTGCAGGAAAAGAGCGTCTGGAAAACCCCGTGGGAAAGAAAGCCAGTCAGCTCAGTTCCTGAGAACTTGTCATGAACGGAAACAAAAGAATGGAAAGCCGAAACAAGCCGGTCGGAAAGAAGCAGCTAATAATACAGGAGAATTGTGCGACATGGAAAAATAACTTTTTTTTTGAGGTTTTGTTTTTGATTTGTTTTTTGGGGGATTTTGAGACTTGGGAGAAAAGTAAATGTGTGCGTCTGAATATCTGGTTGTTGAAAATGATCCGTGTATGCTCGTGGGTGACCGGTCAGCGAGAGGAGACAGACAAAGATGGAATGGTTGATCATGATTCATGGGCAGTTGTCATATCAGGTATCGCTGGGCAAGTCGAGATTCATAAGGAGCCATATTAGAACACGGCAGGGATGAGCATGAGAGCTCTAGTTGTTGTGTCCGAGGAGTCGATTAAGGGTCGCCATCGTAGAAGAATAAGAGGCGTGATTGTTTGGATCATAGATGACAGGAAGGCCATGATCATGCTCAGTATCCAGGGTGGAGTACATCTCATCAACTTCAAATTCTTCAATTGGCCACTGAGGAACGTCGCCAAGGACCCAGTTCTGAGGCTCCGGAATGGTGGCTGTAAATGATGGCTCCACAGCGAACACGGCTCCATCTTCGGTGATGTGCTTGTTCCACTCTTCATCACGTTCCTGGGCGAAGTTGTGATCGGTGCAGTGTTTCACAACTTGGTCAACGGCGATGGATGGCGTAACGAGGTTATGCAAAGTTGACGAGGCGATCTTGCGCAAGCTGAGGCTGTTTCCAACGGGCTGGACACTCCAACCAGACGAGGCGAGATACTGCTGACGAGACAGGAAACCCATCAAAGGCAGGCAAAGGTCAACAAAGCCAGAAAGGGAAGGCGTGTCGACATCGAAATGATCACGAATGATCGTGTACGCCTTGGCGAGAATAGCCCAGTGGGACTTCAAGGTATCGTCTTGCCACATTTCGCTGATGGCCATCGACTTGACCTTTTGTGGGATGCCAGGAAACATGGGTGCACAGAAACCTAAACATACTGTCAGAAGTGAATCAATAATCACGAAGATGTTACTTACTTCTGAAGATCATGAAAGAGTTTAGAGGCCGCAGACGGCGTTGCTCCAAGGGAGCGGAGAGAACATCCTGCATCGCATTCCCAACACATCCAGTAGTTGAGTCTGGGTGGAGTTGCTGCATAGGCAATGCTTGGTCAATACGTTTCAGTTCCAGCACGCCGTTCGTGTAGACAAAGCGTGGCCCGGTGGGCAAGATTCTAGGCTGCTGGAAGTAGTTCGCAGGAATATCGCGTAGAACTTGAGTAGCATACTCTCCCATGGGAGAATCCTCAGGCCAACGGTCTAGGACTCGAAGGGCGTGTCGGAAGGGTAAGGTTTCGATGTATCGAAACAAAAGCATCTCACTGTGAGTAGGAGAATATCCCGAGGGGACGGGGATAGCAAGAGTATTAGACATGTTGAACAATGTAGTAAGGGTTCAGAGTGAAGAGACAAGGTGTGGAGTGAAAGAAAAAGAAAGTTGGGTGGAGAGAGGAAAGGAAAGAAAGAAGAGAAGAAACAAAGTGGGGGAGGTAAATAAATACAGTAGCTGAGGTTTCATAGGTGAAGGTTGGCGACGAGATGGGTAATTTCTTTGTTTAGCGGCAACACCAATCACAGAGGCAGGTGACAAACATGTGTGTTCTTTGTTTGCGCGGCAACACCAATCAAAATGTCCCATTCTAGTGAGGGATTTCTTTGTTAGGAATAGTACTATTAGAACAAAGAAAGTCAATCATGGAGGGGTAAGACTATCTGGGAAAAGTCACTTTGGCGTCAAGTACCATTTCGACTACCTGGTCGTACACTATTGTATATACCATTCTGAGCGGCCACTATACATTATTTGATAAATATGTAGTGTCTCTACGCAATAATTTCTGTGATTAGCATGCTATGATAACGCATTAAAATATGATTTCGATCTGTGCTAGATCTGTGCTACGTTGGATATATGTGTAGGTCGGGTAAGTGGATCTCCCGTTCACCACGTGGCACTGCAGATCCGGGGGTTAGCGCCCGCACGCACAGGTAACCTTGGAACCTTAAAACATATCAAACTTTACACAAAATAGCTTCAAATTAGTGAGTCTGTTTTTGATTGTATAGAGAGTCTCAGTTTTACGAAGTAACAACAAAAATTATTATTAGCGTAAGAAGAAATCTAAGACACAAGTTCATCCATAAAAGTGTCGACAATGCACCTACCCAAGATGTATCTTTACTTGAACATCCCTATAGCAACAGGAAGGTAAACAAAGTACGCAAACGAGAGTCTGATTAATATAATAATATCAAACAAAGAAACCGAACAAAGAGGTTAAATCAAGGAAATAAACCATCCCCAATCAAGTCCCCAATCAAGTCCCCAACCAAAATGTAAACAATGATAAAAGAAACAAAGCCAAAATAGACAAAGGGAACAATAAAGCGGTCAATAAAAGAAAAGAAAAGGAACTAGGGCAGAAATAGCATAGCGAACGTCGAGTGCTTCAAACCTAAGGCAGCCAGTCTTGGAAAGACCTAGAAGTCTTCAGTGAAATTTGGGCTATTAATTGCCTGCTGCATACTATTATTTGGGTACATGAAATCCTCTAAAATATGTAGCACTATAAAATGTTTTGCTCGTTTCTAGGCGTATTTTGTTGGGACAAGAAGAGTTCAGAGCCTTGGAAGCACTATCTACTAGCCATATATGCGTACGTCTACCTAGCTAGTCTTCGAACGGCTCATATTGGAATTGGTCGGGACTCTCGGAATCCAATCAAGCCCATTGAAACTACAATGAATGTATGAAAATCAGGCACAATAATTGAAATTTGATACTAGGCTGTATTATTCAGCAAGTTGACTACCGAGCGATATCCCCTTCCTAGGACATGTATTTTATTGTTCCTGTGTCGCAACCGGTGAGTTCCAATCACTGGCCCATATGAAAGTAGGACACCGCCATTGCGTGCCCTTTTCCTTCTCTCCGCTGGGTCCCAATGGCCGGGGACAAATCCAAAAGGAGCGGCCGCGATTCATTCCGGGTTTCTTCGTCGTCAAGCTGATACACGGCTCTTGGTGTCCATCACACGGTGGAACGGGCTTCTTGGTAAAAAGTTTTGACCAATCCTCCTTGCTGACAATCGGGTCAATTATTGTGTCGTCAACAAATTTGCTGGCCGTCGGCCATTCGGTAGAAGTGTCAGCATCCTTCCTTATGATGTCTTCTGGGGTCCCCGGAGGTTGCGGATTGATTTCTAAAGCTTTCCCCTGCTCTTGTGGGGTCTCTGATGGTTTGCGGTTAAATGATGGTGTCGAGGGTCCCGGTGAAGGCATAGGTGACCCGGTAGCTTCATATACATCAACAGATTTTGGCTTGAAGAAGCCTGTTAATGTCTTTTGCCCTGCCGTAGAGACCCTGGGAGACGTCAGTGCGGCGGACTTGGGGCGTTTCCCGAATGTGGTGGGTAGAGGCTGGGAGCGTTTGCGGGAAACAATCTGAGGGGTTTGATTTCTCTCGGCGATATGTGCAGAGCCCTTTCTGGCCGAGTCAGTGGATCCGAAGGTTGTGTGCGTGGCTGTAGATTCCGTGACTTGAGTCGCGGGCATGTTAGCCAGTGTAGCGGCTAGCTCTCCCGACCCCGATGGAATGCTGACTGGTTTGCGAGCGAACATGTCCTTGATGCTTCTGCGCTTATCAACGTCGAATTCGGGGAGTAAACGCCCTGAAGCGGGCAATGCGCACTCGTTTGAGTAATCCTGTTGACGCTTGCCACAAATAAACATTCCCGGTGGGTTGAGAATATCCCGAATGTTTACTTCGCCTTCGGGCTGATTCACAGACTCCTTGATGATGGCATATACAGGACAATGGTCTGATCCCTATAAAGCAGTCAATCAATGATTCAACACACAGGAGAGAAGTCCATACCATCAACCCCTCTTGAATGTTTGAGTCGGAGAACCAGTTCTGCATACCCAAGCTGCACAACACATAGTCAATCCTTGAGCCGTAATTCCCTGGTCGAGCATTGAGCTTCTGATCCCAACATGTATACATGCCTGTACGATCTGGATGAAATGACCTGCAGACATCGAAGAGGACAGAATGTTCCCTGCCTTCGTCACGTTCACCAATAACCACGCCGTCCGATGTCAAGTGGTTCAATAGACGTCGAGAAGGGGCAGATATAAATTCGTCCTCTGTCATCGTGCCTTTTCGTATGGACTCAATTCCATGGGCGGCATCGATGACCTGCTTCGAGATATTGATATCTCCAGCCACGACTACGTTCTTCCCCATCGCAGTGAGGTTGCGGATTCGAGAATCTAGGACATTAAGAAAGTCCATGCGAAAGGTGTCCCGGCTCTCATCCCGATAGGCAGGGCAATAGACACCAATGAGAACAAATGCAGGAAACTCCAGAATGACGCATCGCCCCTCGGAGTCGAGGGTTGGTGCATCTATTGTGGTATCGGTCATCGGGCTCACACCCTCCTGCTCTTCTTCCGAGTCAGGCCCTTCGGGATTCATAGCGGGCCTGGAAAGCTGATCCGATGTTGGATACCCACCAATCTGCTGCTCTTCTGGAAGACTGCGGAAAGATGTTGAGGATTTCGGTGGACAGAGCACTCCAGTAATGCCCTCTTCTGCCCTTATTGGAGAACATGTGGCATTGCGCGTGTAAACTACAACACCCGAGTATCCTAGAAGCTGTTAATTTTCTGTATATATAGTACCGGGATAGTAGCTTGCCTTTTTTGACTCGAGGGAGACTAAAATAACAGTCCCATCCTGGAACCAAAACCATGTCATCGCGAAGGTCTTTGCGCTGAATCTTGGTTTCTTGGAGAATTACAATATCCGCCTCCAGTATATCGAACATGGACTTTGGACTAAATAAGCTCGATATACTTGGGAAATGGAAGAATACACACTTACCTCGAATGTGCGCGTTCCTCTCCATGGCTCATAGGAGAACGGATTTCTTTTTGATATATTAGTGTTGAACAGGTTCAACTAGCAGGTTTCTCTCATACCGTATACCATTGACTAGAGAGTGATGCATGGTTGGTATATATTCATAACTCCATTTGCCCCCAACAATTCAGATAGAACTTACCGTTCCATGTGGTGATGCGGAATCCCATGTTGGACGCTAGTGTATTAGGTGACAAGGCAGCATTTCCTGCGATGTAAATGATCAATATAGGCCGAGATAAAATGGAAAAGCAGAGTCAAGCAAGGACCAGAACCTCCTCTAGCTGTTTAATCTAGGTCACGGGTTGCGGGAGTAGCGTGCATCCCGACGTCCATACATATCGCAAAACGGTCACGTGATGTAAATTAATTTTATGCCTGATATATCAGGCTTCATGACATCAGGTTATGTAATCCGGGAGATCACGGGGATACGCTAAAGGCGGCTTTGGACCTCATCGCACCACTTTTGACCTCCACCACCAAAAGAACTCCTTAGCATCACCCACCATGTTCCCTCAGCGCAATCTTGGTCGCCTGTCCCAGCGTGCTTCGCAGCAGATGCGTTCCGCTCCGGTTCGCTCTACCATCCAGCGCCGTTTCAACAGCGCCGAGGCCAAGCCTTCTTGGATCGTTGACAACGAATTCAACCGCGAGAGAGCTGCTGTCAAGCACCATGCTGCCTCTACCAGTGGTACGTACCATTATAACTGAACTCAATTGATTGTGCCGCATGGCCATTGGCCGTAGACAATATCCGTTACTGACCCAATGATTGTACAGACCTCTGGCGCAAGCTGTCCATCTTGTACGTTTCCAGTCATATCAACACTTGGTTTGATGTCCTCACCAACAGAGAAAAATCTAATCACTTCACAGTGCCGTGATTCCTTGCCTGATTGGTGGCGGTCTCAACGCCTATAACCTCTGGTCCGAGCACTGGGAACACTGGGAGCACATGGCCCCGCTCGAGGAGCGTACCGAGTACCCTTACCAGAACATTCGTGTGAAGAACTTCCCCTGGGGAGACGGCGATAAGGTATGTGAATCCAATTATGCTATTTGCCGAAGACTAGAGCTAATCTGTATCTGGAATAGACCATCTTGTGAGTTCTGACTTCCCCGATTATGCATTGTTTGCAGAACTGCAGTTGCTGCAATCTTAAATGGATGATCTGCTTTTGAACAGATCGCATGACATTCTCTCATCACCATTCCACCCCTGAAAAACCAGGACTAACTTAATGATCTACAGCTGGAACTCCGATGTCAACTACCACAACAAGGACAAGGCCACCTAAATTAGGTCGCTCGCAATATTCCCATATACTCGAGACTCCCCTTCGAATCCCGCCAGGAAATCATTGAGTGTGTGTCAGGGCTGGCTTTTCCATGTACATATACCACACTGTCGTTCTACGGTAGTAACACAGTCAAATGCTTGGGGAGCTGAAGGTCCAGTTGACAGAATGAGGCGAAGCTTACTATGTACTAGTCAACATTCATTCTTGCTGCTATTTCTTTTGTCTCTCTTTGGGCCATTCTTATATCTACTGTCTCGAAACCTATGCTTCCGAGGTTGCGTCGGCTAATGATCGTAGTGGCCCTTCCTGCTAAATAGATACTGCGACCAGGCTCTTTAAAGAAGACACGTCTCGGCCAGTGCTTCAAAAAGCTTAGAATCATGTCCTTTGTTTATTAAAGAATATTTCTTGTCACGGAGCCTTGAAAGTAGCCAAGCCCATAAACCACATGAAAAGGATGATGACGACAACAAAAGATTCACAGATGGAATGAAAATGCATTGTCTCCTTGTGGCATAGACTACTACACTAGTCGAGTGGGTTGGTCCACAGTTAATGAATGACAGCCCTGGAGAAAAGGCACACTTGTATCATAGTATTCGGTATTTCTCAAGGTCGATTTGAGTACCTCGCTGGGCTGAAGATAGGCTCATAGTGCTCAAGAGGGTTTGGTATACCGCGGAAATGTAATTGAACAGCACAAATTGGATGTCATTGCGAACGTAATCCATACATGTCTAGAAGTACATATATAACCTCAACCCCGCAAACAAATGTCCAGGTATATAAATAGATAATAAAACTACACGAACAAAGAGCTGTTTGGAGCGAGAAGGTCCAGCCCCGACTCACCTTCGAGGAGAGGGAAGAGGCGACGAATCCGATCCTCTAGAATAGCATCTTCAGCCTCCCAGCGTCGACGATCGAGACTCTTTGCCTCTACGCGGCGCTCGCCGCCAAACCAAGCACCCTTAGCCTGATCCCTACTCTCCTGCTCCTCTTTCCGAGCACGGGTAACAAGGGAAGAAACCATGGTTTTCCAATTCTCTAGCCCAACCTTCAGGCACTGTGCGCAGCGAGTTCGAGCAGCGCGGTCGGCCGAGTTGCCGAGGTCGAGCATTGTGGACTCGGCCATATCGACTGCGTCGCGCGTCCAGGCAAGGCCGGATTCCTTTGACGAGGAGGCGTACAAGATCTCGCCGATGTAGGTCATCAATCCGGCTTCTTCGCAGGCGGATGCCGTGGTGCGGCGTGGGGGATCGTTCCCTGATGGGAGGGGTCCTGGATACTCCACGGGAATGAGGACATTTCTGAGCGATTTGAAGAGAGAGGCGAATGGATCATTGTTTGATTTAGGCAGAGTCGGAACGGATGGGGCTATATCAAAGTCCGAGGATATAGGGAGGTTACGTCGGGCTTTGAGAACAGATGTGAAGAGGGATAAAGCTGTTGGAAGGTTGGCTTGACGGGCATTGTGGACGGCGAGAGCCGTGGAGACACGAAGGATGTTTTCTGAAGGTAGGTCTCCGCCGTTGTTTTTCAAGATGCCGTTCTTCAAATCCACAATCTTGCTAGCATCGCCTTCCAGTCCACTGGCAGCAATGTCCAATGCCCACTTATACATGTCACCCGCTGTAAGGCCCAAGCCTTTGAAATCAAGCCAATCAGCATAGGCCAAGGCAGCATCAAGTTTCTGCCCTGTGTCAAAGCCTTTGGTTGTCAAAACCTTCATGTAGAATCGCTCTGGAGACGGAGACGCCTGCTCACAGTCCTCCTCCTGTGGGACTTTCTTCTGACCAGCGGGCATGGGCTTTGGTCGAGGGTTTGAGGGTCCAACAACATATTCCGCAGGCGCAGATATCTTCTGCTTGCGATCTGTCAACCAGCCGTCCAAGTTCTCAGCGGCCTTAGCAGCGCCCATCAGGGCCTGGAAATATCCGCGGCGCCAAGGCTCACTCTTTCCGGAGACATCGAATCCAGTGCGGCCGACGCCTTCTACCAGGAACCCACCCTCATCTTGTTCAATGAGACCTTTGCCCTCTCCCTCTAGGTTCTCCAAACGCTCCAGCAGCTCACGAAGATACCCAGCAACCATGGGCCAATTCGTCATTAGCTTGCCGATCTGCTCCGGATTCTGCAGGGCCTGTGCGGATCGCAGACACCAGCGGCTCTTCCAGGACCATTCCGGTGGAGTAGGCCATGAGTGCTCAATGTCTTCTTGGTAGATACCGAGTTGTATCGCGGAGAATAAGACAAGGATGGCAGACACCGATAGGCCAATCTTGACACCTCGGGATACCCTTCGCTTGTAATGCTCGCGGCTCTCCGTAGATATCAAGCGACCAAAGTGCTGGCGCAGATGGATTGACAGGGGTGGAAGTGGGCGGGTCGGCGCAAGAGGGGATAGAAAGGGCAGTTGAGGGCGACCCGGCGCCGGAGAAAGAAGAAGTAGACGTGTGCGGTTGGTGAATGGTCGGAGATGTACATTGGGACCGGAGATTCGAGGTATATGGGTCAGTCGGATATGACTCGGTATTCGACCGATCGCGTTTCGAGGAGGCAACATGATTGGATTACCGAAAAGGTCGGAAATTGATGAAGCCTTAGCATGTTGGTGATTGATGGATGGATGTTTGTCATGTTTGTCTTGCACGTGACCGTTTTAGGCGTTTTCGTGAGGTGGTATAGATCCGCAGCGAGTATCAACAAATGCAACCTCAAATCTCGTCTGTGATAGCATTCTGCAGAGTTATTTGTGTCTGGGCATCTTGAAATTAAGTTTTATATGGGCAAGTAGATAATATCCTTCCTTTGAGAACTTGGTTTGAAATGGGCCAACTGACGATAAGATACAATTCCTTGGTAAATATACATCAGTGGACTAACATATAAATTGCATTTAAAATTGAATTTCAAGCTTACAGCGTTGCACTAGTATTCTTCTCATGACAAGAGTTATGCTTTACCTAGTGATTTATTGATTTATTGGCGCCCGTTGAATGGTCCGAGCATCCGAGTCAAGGATCAGTCTCCAAATCTATGGTCTGTGAGATTCCTAGGTCATAAAAAGAGGGTTATGGTAATCCCTTTTTCTATATCTAACTGTGAATATGACGGAAGCACTTGGGCTCTTTCTTGCACTACAATATACTAAAATTATAACTCAAAATGGCACTCTCTCTGCCTTGGCTGCACCTTGCAAGCCCCCGCTATGAGAATTTCTAATGGAGAATATTTGCGAGGGCTCTCTCAAATGCGAACTTTTACTGATTTTCTTTATAACTGGCATGCAAGATGTAGCTTCCTGGTCCGTCTACACATGCTTCGTATATAACCAAACCGTAAGCACTCTGTTTTTAGCCATTGGCGCTGCGGGTGTTATCAATAACGCATAAAGCTTCTAAAACATTGGTATGAATCTCAGCCTGCTTATGGTAGAAGGAGTTTTGACTGCTTATTAGCAACTTCACTCAAATAGCCATCGATGGACGAGTGGTTCTTTACATCAACATTACATGGCGCTTTCTGACCGACCACTACCTACTTTGTATGAAGTATATAAAAGTGGACCCGACGCCAAGAAGGGCTTTGATCGACGCGATTAGATAACGTTTAATGTAGTGGGGCTATTCCACAGTGGGGGCCTGAGGTTGCCTAGTTGCTTAGGTATGTTGTAGATGGTTTTCCATTTGGCTTCCACGTTGTTTCTTTTTTCTTTTCCTATTGTCTTCCTGGTCGGTGTTCTTCATTCGTTTTCTACCTTCCTTTTTGCTTTCTTGTCTTGTTCCCTTCATTGATACACTTGAGACACTTCACACTCGTAGGGCGGATTCTTTGACACCGACTTTCGCGTCTCATTGTTTCTTCTCTTCTACTTCTTTTCAAGATTTCAGCACAATCTAATATTATCATGCCCCGAAAAGACTTCTTGCAAGATCTTGCAGATGCGGCGGTTCCTGGCCGATTCCCCCTGTATCTCCGATATCAGAACAGGGGACTATGATGGATCAATTTCTTTCACATTCGCAGCACCTGCGGCAGGCCTCACCCTTGATCTCCAGGCCATAGTATCAGGTAAGAAACACCCTTAAATTATAGTGGAAAGGCTCTAATATCTTGCTGAACCACACAGACTCTCACGATTATCCCAAGGACCATGGATTTCTGGCCTTCTCGTCGTCCGAGGACTGTCCTAAGACAGTCACCTCCTCCCTAGAAAACGCAATTCCCCGTTTCACAGGTTTAACCATTCACAACTTGTTGAGCAACATCGAGAACATTATCACCGATTTTATTGTTGATCCTGATTCGGCACCCGGTCACTCAGAGGACCCGGGCACTCATGACTTCAACGACGATGAGTCGCTGCCCAGTGACACGGAGTCTGACTGGGAGACTGCTGATAAAAATGGAATATTCACGTTCACTCAAAGTGAGACTGAATTGCGAGAGAAGATTCGCCGTGACCTTCGTGCGGCCAAGAACGCGGGATTCAAAGTGGGATACCTTGGGTTAAAATATGGCACCATCATTGTGTCAGTGTCCTGCCGCATTTCCAAGCTTGGCATTTCTGAGGAAGCTATGAATGCCTGGACCGTTGAGCCCTCGGAGTACTTGGTCTTGCTAATCCGTTATCGGCCGACCTACCTTGATCTCCAAACAATAGTCGAGACAGCAGGTGATCCGAAGGACATCCCAGTTCAAATGCATGTTGGCCTCTGTGATTCATATAAGCCATCCTTTGCGCACGCCATGGAAGCAATACAAGGGTCACAGGAACAAAAGATGAAAGGCGAGAGTGCAACTTCAGACAAAACAATGTGTGGTCATTTCCTCAAGCCTCTGTTCATTGGAAAATCGCTCAATTTACTTCTCGAAGAGCGACTACTTCAGATCATCAATCTTCGGCTGAAATATGGGTTTTCATGGACGGGGGCAGAGCTTTTCTTCCAGACCAACCAAGGCAGAACCTATCTCAGCTCTGATATCTCTTCCGAGAAGTACTGTCAGTTGGACAGTTGGGCGACTTCAACTCCAGAAATCCTTGTGGCTGACCACATGACTGAACTGGGTCGCAATATCTCCAATATGTCTTTGCCTCTTCTTACTATGCAGTTTACGCTGCGGCATTTTATCAAGTGCACAGAATTCTGCCTGGTCTGTCACTGCAAAACTGGCGATACCTTCGAGTCACTGAAGCCCTATGTCTGCTCTAACGCGTTGTGCCTATATCAATACATGGCGCTGGGCTTGGGCCCAAGTCTTGAATATGAGATCAAATCCCAACCCTTTGTCGTTGACTTGTTGACAAGCCTGGCATACTCGAGGGCTTTAGCGGGGCTCCTTGAAGACTTCCCGACTGGCCTTCGGCTGCGTGTACCCGAGAAATTGCTCCCTCAAAAAAACCCAGATCTTACTAAATATCATGCTGGGCAATTTGATGCAGTCAATCTTGAAATTTGTTTAAATCAGCCGGCTCCAGTCAAAGTGGGTGATTGGATTGTAATCATTATTACGGTCCCAAAGGCAGAAGAATGGCACTGTCGCGTTGAACACGTTGGTGAGACCTCAAACCATATTCGCATCTCATCCCCAATTAGTAAAGGTCATCAATTGCAGCCAAAAGACCTGCGAGATTCGTCCCGGGAAGTGAAATTTGTTGTTTACGACACCAATCTGGACCATTTGGAACCCGTGCAAAAACAGCAGATGATTTCTTGTCTATTGGGTATGCTCCCTAGTATCGAGGAAATGAAAGCCTTCATCGGAAGCCACGAAAGGGGCAGGCTTCTTTCGTCTTGGAAAGACGTCATATCTCCCGCTGGATTGGACCTTTTACGCTGGGTTGTAGCCTCGAATCGATCTTTCATCAAGCAAGATGTTGATGAGCCTCTGCATCAGGTAGTTGGAATGAGCGGTTATATCCAATTCAGACTTGTTCAAGGTGCTGCTGACAAAGAGCAGCGCTTTATCAACGCTGTCAATTCCAATTCCTTGGCCCCGAACCCAAATCATCCTACGATATTCGCTTGGCATGGCAGCCCTGTGAATAACTGGCACAGTATTCTACGTGAGGGTTTTCATTTCAAGCAAATTCTCCATGGCCGCGCCTGTGGTCATGGCGTTTACATGTCGAACCACTTCGGTACCTCATTGGGATACGCAGGCACATATATTCTTCACACATGGTCCGAGACTCGACTGAAGCTCTTGACTGTGATTTCTCTGAATGAGGTGGTCAATGCTCCCCTTGAGTTTGTGAACCACAGCCCACACTACGTCGTGCAACACTTGGATTGGATCCAACCAAGGTATCTTTTCGTCAAGCTCCAAAATTTCAATGTACCTGGCAAGGCAGGGAGAACAGGTGGATATGCGCACGAGATCATGCTAAAGGGCTCCAAATCCCAGTCATCATCTCCCAAAAACGATAAAAGGCTTACATACAAACAAGATCGGCGTTACCTGGCTTTTGGTCCCGACGGAAAATCGATCGAAATTCCCATTTCGATATTTAGCGGCCAACGGGGACAATTTCTTGGTACTGCTGGAGAAACAGGGCTTGCAGACCTTGCGCCGTCACCAAAGAGACGCAGATATTCAGTTGAAAATACTAAACAACATGACGACGTTGACGACGACAACGTTAGCATTGAGACGACCATTGAGGATCTCAGCATTCTTTTATCCGACGATGAAATGTCTGAAAGTCCCTCAGGTCCCAGCATGCAAGAAGGAGCTACCCCAGAACCTGGCCTGAAAACCGATTTCAGACCCGGAACCCTTCAGAACAGTACTTTGCCAACACTTTCTTCGCCCCAGTTTGCGACAACCTCAGCCACAAAAGTCCTACAACAACATCTCCAGGCTACTATTAAAATCCAGAAGCGAGTGCCACTCCACGAACTCGGATGGTACGTCGACCCCAGCTTGATCAGAACAGTTTACCAATGGGTCGTGGAGCTACACACGTTTGATCCATCCCTCCCACTAGCCCAAGACCTCAAAGCCATCAACCAAAAAAGCGTCGTCTTGGAGCTCCGCTTCCCTCCACAGTTTCCCATGGATCCACCTCTTGTGCGGGTGATCCGCCCTCGTTTCCTCGAGTTCGCCGCTGGAGGCGGCGGCCACGTTACCGCCGGTGGGTCTATGTGCATGGAACTGCTTACACACTCGGGCTGGCTACCGACAGCTTCAATTGAGAGTGTGTTATTGCAGGTTCGCATGGCTATTACCAACACCGAGCCAAGACCCGCGCGTCTGAATCTAACCGCAAATTTCAAGGACTATTTTGTGGGTGAGGCGGTGGAAGCCTACAGAAGAGTTGCGTTGGCGCATGGATGGCAGATCTCGAAGGATATCCAGCAACTTGCCTGGTGAATCTTTTGTTTTTTTTTTCCCCTTCTTTTTTTTCAAGAAACATTTGTACGGAGTGGACTTTATTTGAACTGGTTTAACCAGTTCTCTTTGCTGAACTTGTCATATTATTAAGAAACAATACTTGCTACTTTCTACTCATCTCTGTGTGCATACCGTAGTTTGTAGCTTCGTGTCTAGGATCCCTAAGATGAACGCACGTTGTACAAAAGAATAGAGAAGAAAGCAAGAGTTGACGGAGTGAATTCGAGGAAGAAGTTCCAATTGAAGAATAAAACTAAGTATGTAGTCCTACAATATGATGTACGACGATCCATGATCCCAGAAACCATACGCCTATTCACAAACATAAAGCCCCCAGCAAGAGGGTAATAAACAAAACCAATGCCATTCATTGTACATTAGGCGGCCGCAGAAAATGGACCCTCGCACATAGTTCATGCAGACTCAGACGGACCAGCCTGTGGGATCGTATCTGGGAGATTCTCGGGTTTGTCATTGGCCTCCTTAGGTTCGCTAGACCGAGAATCTTCCTGCGGCTCTGCTTCGGCGGCGACACTTTCATCAGGGACACTTGTTTCGGTTGCTGCCTCTGTGCTTTCGTCTACGTTGAGCGTTGGTTTTTCTGGTAGACTGGGGTCCGCGGGAGCAGCTGTAGTGGACTCCGCTGCAGCGGGCTGGGGCTGTGGATTCTCTGCGGTTGGTGATGCTTGAGACAAGTCTGGTTTCGCGGGAGACTGGGTATCTAGCCCTTGGCTTTGCTCCGGTACCGGAGAATCTCCCATCTCGACATCTTTTGCTTCTTCTGAGTATAGACTGGGCCCAGGAGTATCAGAGGAATTTGGTTGTTCGCGTTCGGTAGCTATCGAGGTCTGTTCTTGTGTTCCAGAATGGAAAATCGACTCGCTTGAAATCTGTTGAAGTTCCCGCGTCTCTGCCAAGGTATCGATCGATTCTGCGGTCTGCTCGTGTTCTGAATCCTCACATAATGCTGCGGGTTCTAGGGATTTTTTGAGGCTGACAGGTGACACGGCAGTTGCGTTTTCTTGCTGGCTTGGGAGACCAAGTTCTTCCTTCGGTGCAAGGTCAGCCGTTGGCTTTATGGCTTCCTCTTCTCCTTGAACCTTGGTATCCGAGCTTTGAGCCTCACCAACTGCAGCTGGAAGCTCAGTGTGTTCACTTGTCATTACGGGAGTTCCGGCGGGGGAAGTGGGAGTCTTGTCATACTCCGAAATGACAGGCTTCTCATTTGAATCGGTGACCTCAGCATTCTCTGAAGGAACATCGGAGGCCACGGGGGCAAGATCCACCTCTGAGGTCTTCTCAGGCTGGGGTTGCTTCTCCTCTTCGGGGGCAGGAGGCTGGTTTTCTGGAACGGCATCTGACATGTCGACATCAACTGACCGCTCGGCAGGGGTTTCGGATGAAGGCTGATCCACAAACTCTGTGCCAGACAGAGGCTGGGGGGTTTCGGGGGTCTTCACATCTAACATGGAATCGTCACCATCGTCACTCTCGTCGCCCTCGTCGCCGTCTTCATCGTCTTCATCTTGGCCAGCCTGGTCAATGGACATGTGCGAGGCATCCTGCTGGCCTTCTCTCTTGATGCCACCATCCCCACTGCCAGTAGCAGGGCCAACTCCGTGTACTGTCGCGGCATCAGCCCCTTCGCCAGGCGCAAACATGACCTTCTTCTTCCGGCCTTTTCCAATGCCTTTGCCCTTTCGCTTAGGTGGAGGCGGACGTCGCTTTGGGGGTGTCATTACAGCTGCTGATCCAGCCTCCGCAACAACAACCCCCTCGGCATTGACAATGCCGACCCCCTCGACGACTGTTCCGGGTGCAGGCGCCTCAGGCTTCACAGGCACTTGGCTCTGCTCGGCAATCGTCTGCAAGTCGCCAGTAATCTCTCCTTCAATACGATGGCCCTCTGGCACCCACGCCTCGTAGATAGAGATGTTGCCTGTTTCGGGATCAACCTTTTTGAACTTCGTTCTCCTCATGGGCCCAGAAGCCGACCCATCTGTGCCAGCAGTGGCACCATAAAGGGATGAAAGACCAGGGCGCCTCTTTGCTAGAAACTCTACCTCCGCAGGCTCAAGGTGCTTGGGAAGCGTCATCCATTTGCGAGTTGTGAAGCTCCGATCAGCCGTATGAGATGCCGAGCCCGAGTCTTCCGCATCGGCCACGCTTTTCTCCTCATCATCGGCTGCTCGACTGCCCTGGCGGATATGGATACATCCGGCACGGGCTGCTCGAAGGAGTGCGCGACTGATTGATGGCAAGAGTTGGCTGTCTCTTGGCATGGGGAGCTCTGGTAGGGTTGGTCCTCCGCCAGGACCTTGAACGCCGAATTCTGAGTCATCGGGCTTGGGCGCTTGAGAGAAGGTGTGCTGCTGTCGGGACCAGCGACGCACTGGTAATCCTTCAAAGACATCGTGATCGATTTGGCCGGTTCGGGTGCGGTTTGGGGCACCGTCGAGGTGTCGCCCTGAGCGCGAGGCTCTGAACTGTGGTAGATTTTAGCCAGCTAATTCAGAAATTTCAAGATCCAATATATCTGGACTGGGCATGTGTCTAGGGCAACCATGTCGGGGCCAGATAAGATAGATCACCACGGGGGCAAGTTGAAACGTACCGTGGAAGGCATGGTAGATGCCCCTGTACTGACTCAAAGTCAAGTGCGCACGATCAGGAAGCTTGTAATTTCCTTGTGGGGACCTCCTGGGGAGGATTCTTTGGCGGGACGTGGTGGATTGGGTGATGGTAGCGGAGCAGTGCAACTCCGTCGCGTTGCGATGCTACAAGACCGTAAAGAGACATCACGTGATACACGCAGTGACCAACATCTTGTTATAGCAGCTACCTATATTGTGACAATATCCCTCAATTGATAGAAATAGGTGCAGTTCAACTCATTGGGATGCATATTGTAATTCAGGAGTGGAATGGAGTGTTTCTGGTTGAAAAAACTAGCTACAGCTGTAGCTCCAGCGCTGAGCGTATAAGTACAGAAAATGAGCAGGTGCTTAATTAGTCCACCATTGGCAAGTTATTGAAACAAATAAAATGGAATAGTTACAAGGTTCCATACGACATTCAAGGATTAATCCCAACTACTACAGGTTAGTGCATGCAAAACAAGGTGGGCATAAAACCTCAATTGAATGGCTTACCCAGTGTCCTTCTGGCGAACAATGCCTCCATGGTCCCCGGTCTCTTTTCCCTTCAAAGATAACAATGTAAGATTGAATCCTGGAGCAAAGCCCTAAGCCAAGGTAGGACTTACAGTCTTCTGGCCTTCCACCACCAACTTATCCAACTGGTAGAACTGGCTGATGATCGTTTGTCTCTGTGATTATGTCAGTATAATTGTCCCCCGGAGTTGGATTCAATGATTTGTAGGGCAATGTTGTAAGGTGAGACTCGTCGACTTTCAATACGCGAGGTTGAAAATGGATGCTCCATATCTGCCATCGATCGAGCTTTACCCCAAAAGCCATGCGATACCACTGACCTTCAACAAGCGCAAGCTTTGAAGTCCCTCCTGGATCAGTTCCTGTACCCGGCGTTCCTCTGTGGTGTTTTGGTGCTCGCGGAACGAATCCCTTGTCTTGCGACGAGCATATTCGCGGAAGTTGTAGTTGGAAAACTGTCCGGAATAGCGCAGAAGGGAGCGGAACTAAGAAAAGAGAAAGACGCCGGTTAGTTTTATGTATTGAGGAGGAAGGCACGAGGTCGAAGCGCATATAGAGCCAAGAGGACATACCAAAGATCGTGCCTGGAAGGCAGTCTGATTATGCAAGGGCGCGACAGACATGATAGCCGATGTTATGATAGGAAGATGAGGAGTGCGGGACGCTTGCTTGGTCAACCCCAGGTTATCACTAAAGCCTTGGTCGCGCGGTCGACACGGGCCTCTGCGACAAAAAAATTGTCCTAAGAGCCGCTGTGTTAGAGCGATGGCGCGTATTGCACTGGTCGAGATACCAAGATGTAGTTCACGTACGTTGGGCGCAATGACTCGTATCAAAGACGCAATCGGAGGTGGCGGTTCAATCTTGCAAGAACCACAGATCCGGGGATATTAAGTCACACGGGTATTGATGGTTTTGATTTCTCGTAACACAGTCTCTTTACAAGAGAGAAGACACAGTGGGTTGAGGTATGCAAGAGATAAGAAGAAGCGCAGGAGTGGGAAATTCTTTTGCGTTCGGAGACGAATGACGGAGTTACCGGGGCCGAGCTCCTTTGCTCCACGTTTCTTTTGTATCTCAAGCTTGTGGATTTTATTAGTTTTATTAGATTCAAGTCCACAACTCGACTTTACAGATATTTGCATTGCATTCCTGCTTCATTTACCTTTGGTCTTTTTCTCCATGTCTCAAATACCCACGCCACCAGCATCGCGACCGGGCTCGGAGGCACCTGAAGTGAAGGTGAAGCCGGTGGCTTTGGGGGATTCGGTCCAATGTTTGGATACACTTCTTGAGAAATACTTGCACCTGCTTGATCGGCAGCAGAAATTACATTCAAGTCTGGCAGAACAGCTGTCGTCGGTATGACTTTGTTAATCATGGTTCATGAAATATGCTGAGACAACGTAGGGGTTTTTTGCTCTTGCCCAAGCCAATTTCTCCAGTCCTGGCCGTCGTTATGGCCCTGATTATTATGATGGGCGCATGAAAGCGACGAGGAAGATGTAACTTCACCCGCTGTCATTGATTACTGACGCTTGTTAACTGGCCGAAATTGACAGATCGATCCAATCCGAACGAAACACGGATCAATCCACGAACGATCCGCAAGATGAAGAGGATATCACTGCGCTACCTGATTCTGAATACACATTCTCCGTCAAGGCCACACCTAGTCATCCACCAGGGGAGGAGGATGGGAACAACGAAACCAAGGCCTCTTCTCCGGTCCTAGGTGGACATCTTGAGGCCGAGGAAACTCGCCCGGCCGAGGCGGCTAGCTCGGAACCATCTGACCATGCAGAA